CATTGTTTTTCTTGTGACATTACCAATAAGTTTGATGTGTCACATGGCCCTCTTCCTATTGAAAAAACAAAAGTTGTATCCAAGACGGCGGACTTCTAAATGGCCACCATGGTCACCACCCACCTCACATATACTAATGTGCCACAAACAGGACTTTAATATCACCAACCATTCCCATGTTATTACGCTGTATCCATATAAATGGCCCAGCCTGTATATTTGTTTCTTGACACTATCTAACTGCAAGGGTGCCATAACCAGGGTTCCAACAAAACTACAGTGGGTTATCTCTGGGTACTCAGCAGTTTGTTCCCACTGTTAGGTCTGCACTCACAGGCCTCACTAACTCAGAGACTTCTCACTATGAACAAAGCAAGACAATCAGGGCTCAATTGTTTTTTACTTGCACAAGGGAAGCCTGGTCTGTGTCTCAGAGTTAAAAGCTTATCACCCGAGCACAGCCAACTTCAAAACTCCAGCCTTCCCTCACAGCATTTTATTCAGTGAAAACAGTTACACAACCACCTCATTGTCAAACCCATATGGTGTGTCATAAAAGCTAGGGCACTGTGTGTGTGTGCGCGTGCAACATCTCTAGTCATAAAAGGGTCATCTCCCCTGAGCCCATATAGGGCTTAACCCACCCTATACAAAGCATAGGTGAGCCCTTAAAGGGCAAGAAGTAAACATTCCTTAGCAAACAAGCAAACCAGAAACTTTACATGCAATTTAAGACAAGGTTTACAAATTTTAAGCACAGCAATGACAACTGTTAAACAAAATCACTTCAACACCCAACGTCCAAAGACATGCGGTTAGGTTAACTGGTGACCTAAACTTCATGCCGGTGTGAGTGAGAATGCTTTTCTGTCTCTCTGTGGGCTAAGTGGAAGAGACTGGATTGATCTCTGCTTTACCTTGGATATTTCCTGACAGCAAACATTCTCCTTGAAGTCTGCATTTCTGCTCATCTCCTTTATACACACCTTTAAAAGGAAGAGTTTTATACAGCTAGTGTCTAAAATCCAGTGTTCCTCACAGTACACAGGTAATGAGCATAATAATGACTGACCAGAGACGTCCTGCTGTGAACTTTGTTGCTGTGGATCTAAAATGTAAAAATGCATCAGAGAAGAGTTTACTTACAATCTTGTTTTCGTGAAGTTTACAGTTTTTAGCATTTCTAAACCAGAAGGTGGAGGAGATGGAGCTCATGATGACTGGCTGCTGCCCTTCAGTGAGTTTTATAAAGTCATCCAATCAAAATAAAGTTGGCCTTTAGGGAGAGCGGGGCTTTAAATGGCGATGAGCCAAAGGAGCTTGTTTTAGAAAGAAAATGAAACGAGAGTCTGCACCAAGTCAAGCATGTGATACATTATTTATAATATTAACAGTAATCACACATATTAGTATTAATAAAGTGACCAGCAGTACTGTAGTACTGTAGTACCCATAGGCCTGTTCCTGCAAACATTGAACTAGTATCATTAAATCTACCCGCTCTTCACTGGTTTCCATTTAGATACACTGGTATAATTGTGTTTCCACAAATTTGAAGCAATCTTTTTCTCCTACAGTTTACTAAAATAAATATATAACATTTAAATTTGCATTATAGTGTATAGAGAATTGTTATATCTATTATCTAGGTTCAACATATAAATAAATTAATATATATATTTTTTGTTTGTTTTTCAGACTGAGCAGCTGTAACCTCTCAGAGAAAGGCTGTGAAGATTTGTTGTCATACCTCAGCTCCCAGTCCTGTAGTCTGAGAGAGCTGGACCTGAGTACCAACAGCCTGAAGGCTTCAGCAGTAAAGCATCTGTCTACTGCAGTGCAGAGTCCGAAACTGAAAATTCTGAGGTCAGATCAATTTGTATTCTGTTTTGTTTTGTTTTATTTATGCTTTTTTTTGTTTTTATCAACTGAGAAAATAAATCAAACAATTTGGCCAGTAAAGGTAAATGAATCCATTTATTGTTGTTTTGTAGCGTTTTTAATCATTTGTAAGTTAAAATGAGGTTTTACTAAGCTACTCAGAACAATATTATAAGGCCTCTGTAAAATACAGGATTCGTTATTACACCCTGATTACACTTTAACAACAGTCTTTGTTCATGTTTTCATTTTCAGACTCAACATCTGTGAACTCTCAGAGAAAAGCTGTGAAGCTCTGTCCTCACTTCTCAGCTCTCGGTCCGGTACTCTGACTGAGTTGGAGTTAGACCTGTGTATCAACAACCTGCAGGTTTCAGGAGTGAAGCTTCTGTCTGCTAGACTACAAAGTTTAAACTATAAACTGAATACTCTGAGGTCAGATCAAAAGACATTTTGTTTTACATATATGACAAATCAAATATTTTATTTTCCATATGATGATATATCTTAGTATATAAATGTTTCCTTTAATTCAATTCAATTTTATTTATGTACCATCAAATCACAACAACAGTCACCTCAAGGCGCTTTATATTGTAAGGTAGACTCTACAATAATGCATACAGAGACGACTCAGCAATCATATGACCCCCTATGAGCAAGCACTTGGCGGCAGTGGGAAGGAAAAACTCCCTTTTAACAGGAAGAAACCTCCAGCAGAACCAGGCTCAGGGAGGGGCGGGGCCATCTGCTGCGACTGGTTGGGGTGAGAGAAGGAAGACAGGATAAAGACATGCTGTGGAAGAGAGACAGAGTAATAACAGATATGATTCAATGCAGAGAGGTCTGTTAATACATAGTGAGTGAGAAAGGTGACTGGAAAGGAAAAACTCAGTGCATCATGGGAATCCCCGGCAGCCTACGTCTATTGCAGCATAACTAAGGGAGGATTCAGGGTCACCTGGTCCAGCCCTAACTATATGCTTTAGCAAAAAGGAAAGTTTGAAGCCTAATCTTGAAAGTAAAGATAGTGTCTGTGTTGGGTGTGCGCTTCAGCAGGCCCACTAGTTCAGACTTATTCCCGTTAACAAAGCAAGAAGAGCGCAGCTTTAACCGTTTTTTTACATGCTAGCAAGCAGGGATGGACTGGGACTAAAAAACAGCCCTGGACTTTGACTTGGCCCAGCCCAAAGTAATCAGCGTGCGGAAACTCGGCAACAATAATGCTTGGCATGAGTGTTACAAGACTTTAATTGTGGCTTATGCTATTAAACCATCAAAATTATAGCAACAGTGCTGATGTTGACTAGATGTTTTATTAAAGTATATTATTCTAGATTAACTTGACTCATATAGAAATGGGCTGTGACTGTCTGACTTGGGGCGCTTGAAATGTAAAGTTGAGCTGCAGTGTGTGTCTTTCCCTGCTCATGGTCTAAGCTCAACCTAAAAAAAATATGATGGAATGGATTTTAAAAAAAAAAGGTTTCTTCCAAGATAGCATGGAATAGATTATATAACATGCTGTTATATAATCTATTCCATGCTGCCTTAAAATGAATTTATTACTTGATAGGCTTAATAATTTATGCAGTAATTACTCTTACTGCACAAATAATACCACATCTAAATAAAAATGAACCATTACAAATGTAACTTCTGTATTTAAAATCTTCAAAGTTTGTAAGCATTAACTGTAACACTACCAACCTTTTTACATAAAAGCACAACATATTTCTTAATATTAGCTACTGCATGTGGCCTTTTACAGCTAAAATGTTGAAGTTTAGCTGTTTAACTACTGCAATCATAAAATAAATGTATGATTACAACGTAAACATCACTTCCTAACGTCATCCCTAGCAAATAACTGTTTCTCCTCTTATGTTCCATACTTACTTGCCCTGGATCTGCTTGTGGAACCAGCTCATCTTTCTGTCCCTCATAACTGCTGGCATGTTTCTGTGTCTTTCTGCCTGACTTCTTCACTGCTGCGAACCTGCTGCAAGGTGCTGCTGCTGGCTGTGCTGCTAAAAATGTCGGTTAGTCTGTGACATTTAGAGGCTTCAGCATCTAATGCCCACAATTTTTTTTCCTCTTGCCTTCTCAGCCCCACCCTTTTTTCCTTTTTTTACTTGCAGCTGTGTTTTGCATCGTTTCTTTCCACCGTCTTTGCCTCCTACTCCACTTCTTCTTCTCCTTGCCTGGCGGCCACAGCCAATGCAGCTGGCATCCAACTTAGAGGTGCAGTGCTGCCCCCTAGAGTACTGGAGTGTGAAAGAGATTAGTGGGGGGGGGGAAACAGGAGTAGAAAGCATGCGTGGAGAGTGGTGTGCCGGCCCACTGGCCTTCCTGGAGTACCGGCCGTTCTGTGATTCTCCAGAATCCACAGATGCCCAGTCCGCCCCTGCTAGCAAGCGGAGCCGGTCGGCAGCTCCTCTGCCTTCGGTGCCAGACCACTCCAAAGAACCAGTCTGCCCTGCAACCTTTTATTCTGTGACACACAGTTTCACAAACACCCATTGTAGAAACCCCCTATGGTGCATCATTAGACAAAGGCATTCAGTGTGTGTTTATGCATGTGCGAGCACGTGTGTAAATGTGTATGTGTGTGTGCGCGCATGTGCATATGTGCATGTGAGTGAGTGTGTTTGGATGTGGGTGCGTTTGTGTGACTTCCTGCTGATCACAAAAGGCTCATCTCCCCTCACCCTTGTATATAGCTCAATTCCTGTAACGGTTAATTATACACAAACACAGGTGAGGTCATAAATGCCAAGAAGTAAACATCCTCACTAAACAAGGACAGAGAATCTTCACATAGGATGTCCCTACAGTTAAACACTATAGCCCACCCTCACCATTCAACAGGCTAGGGAGGACAATAGAAACAAAGGATATCTTTGATCATGCAGCTTGAACCAAGACTTACAAATTTAAGTACAATAATGGCAACATTTAACAATTTGACTCTAACAGTCTGTCTCCCGAATCCAAACTGGAAGCTGGTTCCACAGAAGAGGGGCCTGAAAACTGAAGGCTCTGCCTCCCATTCTACTTTTAAATACTC